TCAGATTGTCCGCCAGATGAACGATATGCAGTTTATCATTGTTGTCATCCGAGAAAGTAAAACCCGACGGGCTAAAAGTGTTACTTTGCTAACACTAGAAGATTGTATGCATTTATGTAGTACAGACAGTGGGTGCACGGACCGGAACCTTGCACAACTATACCCCGCGTTGTGATTGCATGAATTTTTCAATTTCTCGTAATTTTGTAATTGGTTATTGCGGTTTTTATCGCGATTCTCGTGATTCTTATCATCGTTATCGTGATTTTTTACATCAATATTTTACTGTTTTTGTAGGTTCATCCTATCATGAGCGATGGAGGTGGCAAGCGGTCGGACGATGAGGGTGATGATTTGCTCTGGAATGATTTCGAGAATTGCGCCCAATCGGTCTCGCTGCTCTATCGTAATCCATCCTGGAAAGCGATGCAAGCGGCAGCTGCGTTCACCACACAGCTCTACAAAAGTGGCCTGGAGCACAAGAAAAAAGCTTACGACAGAGGTTTTTTTCATTTTTTTTTTCAATTTTTTCCTTTTTTTGCCTAAGAATGAAGCCAATTTTTTTCCTTTTTTGCCCAAGGATGAAGCCAATTTTTTTCCTTTTTTGCCTAAGGATCAACCCAATTTTTTTCCTTTTTTGCCCAAGGATGAAGCCAATTTTTTCCCTTTCTTTGCCCAGGGATGAAGCCGAAGACGAAGCCGAAATGCTACGACGGAGCTGAAATGAACAGAAGAAAAATAAAGACAATTGGACTGGAGAGGCCAAGTAGCCGAGAAAAAAAATGAAATAAGACGTTTCGGTCCATTAAGTGTTTCAGAAGTTTTAAAAATACAAGCAATAAATATCCCTGGCTAGAAGACTGGAAGAAAACGGAGGCCTGAAATCGTCTATGCGTTAACATATGCGGTTTTGTTTGGCTCTACTGGCCCACTACCGTATGGAGAGGAACACAGTCGAATTTTGATAATTAATGAAAACACAGTGGAAGTAGTGCCGTTTAGATCTCCCAAATAAGCAAGCCTGTATGCACAGAGTCACTGGGTAGCAGCCTGTCTGATGTGTTTCATCCCTGAGCTGTAAACACAGACGGCAAAATCGGTGCGAAATGAGATCCGTACAACACCCCATTTCGCTATTCTAAAAGGAAAATATTGATTGATAGATCTCCCAAATAAGCAAGCCTGTATGCACAGAATTACTTGGGTGGTCTGTCTTATGTGTTTCATCCCGAAGCTGTAAACACAGACGGCAAAATCGGTGCGAAATGAGATTTGTACAATACCCCATTTCGCCATACTTAAAGGAAGATGTTGATTGATAGATTTCCCAAATAAGCAAGTCTGTATGTACAGACACTTGCGTTTCATCCCTAAGCTGTAAACACAGACGGCACAGTTGGTGCGAAATGAGATCCGTACAACACCTCATTTCGCCACACTAAAAGGAACAACACTAAAAAGAAAAAAAGGATGTGAAGAAAATGGTAAAAGGAGACTATTAGAAGGGTAAGACATTAGAAATTAATGTAGAAATAGCACTAGATGGAAAAGGGGAGCGATGAAAAGGAAGGGAAGGAAATGGCAAAGGGTGATTATAGAAGGGTAAAGTATTAGAGGCTAATGTAGAAATAGCACTAGATGGAAAAGTAAAACTAACATGTAGCAGATATATCTTTTTTTTCCGTCCGTGGTTCACCAGATAACGCCAAGTTGTTAGCTTTTGGTTCGCCCTGCTCCAATCGATGCCGATGTCGAAATGTGTGAAAATCTTAGTTCGGGACTGGGCAAATGGACTTCATCAGCACAAGGACTGCATGCATATTTAGAAGGCGTAAAAAGGCGAAATCAAAAAGTAAAAACCTCCCCCCGTAATTTTTGTTAATGAAAGGCAGAGATCTACGGAAAATAGCTCAATTTTTAGTAAATCACAAAAACAGCTACCCTTTTTACAAGACCGTCGATGGCTTCCTCTTTCAATGGATTGCTTAGAAGCAAGATGATGGCGGATTATTGTTGGTCATTATTACTAATAGAATAAAAAATAGAGTGTATTAACAGCGGATGAAAGAAAGCAAAGAATAAAAAAGGTAGGAGGTGAGAATTACAAAATCTGTAAATTATAAGAATTAATTTAATGGTAAGAAATTAATAAATTACTAAATCGATAATACTTTGATCAGCTATAGTTCTCATGGTTGTTTCTTCCGCTCAGTTCGAACACTAGCCGAGCTTCACCTGTTTATTTCACCAATCGTTGCACTGCATGAATCAAACCGTACTCACTTCACACTGCAGCCTGACCGGCCCAGTCCTTAGAGCCAATCCTTTTCCCGAATTTACGGATCAAATTTGCCGACTTCCCTCTGTGCCCCCCGTTAACTTTTCGAGTTGCTTCCCCCGTGGCGATTCTGGAAAACAGGCTTTTCAAGTTTGTTTTTAGGTTACACGGCTGGCAAGCAAACACTTGCGCGTGAAATTTATGCGATGCGCCGATGTCGTGAGGCTTCCGTTGAGGATGTCTGGAAGCTGCTTGCA